AAAAGAAAAAAAAAGAAAAAAGAAAGAAAGAAATAAACTTACGGTCTTGTGAAACAGATGAACATGTGAATAACCCACGGTAATACAAGATAGAATTTAATAAAGGTATCTTTGCCAAGGCGGGAGGTACCCTAATCACTGCTGGCTCCTGAATGAGTGGCAATGAATTTTGTCCCCAGAACTAACCAGTGAATTTGACAGAGAACATTTCTTAATGTACCCGTTGGCCATTTGTATGTCTTTTGAGAAAAGTCTGTTTAACTTTCTTGCTTTAAAAAAAAAAATTGTTTCCTTGCTATTGTGCTGAGTTCTTTGTATTTTTGGGGTATTATCCTTTTATCAGATGTATAGTTTGCAAGTGTTTTCTTCCAGTCCATGAGAAATTCTGCTTTCTGGTCAGTGAAGGTTTACGTTTCTAGGCTTCCTTAGTGTCTTCTAGTACCTCTGCTGTGACACTAGTACCCTGCTTGATCACTACACCAGATTCCGTATGAGCTTCAGGAGAGGGTGGCCAAGAGTCCCTGCTGTATCTCTTTTTGACACATTCGCTCAGTACAGTGCATATTAAATATCTACTATGTGGCAGGCACATTGTACTAGTCACGCGCTAGGTACTCTGTATGTATGTGTCCATGTGTCTTACCTGTCTGTTTATTCTGGTTTATTGTAACACGTTAAGTCACATGGCTGTAGATTGACTATGACTAAAAAGATGTTGCATATATGTGAGTCATACAATACTTAACTAACTGGCCTAATTTGTGACTTACTTCTGATCTTTTCTCCATTTCCTACTTGGTACAGTGAGGATAATGTTTTCTCTGCTTAAATGTCCAGATTGTGAAAACCAACTGACAGAGCCTTTTGAAAAGAGTAAGGAGATGAGCAAATGTAAACTAGTATCACTTGTACTAAACATTTGCTTTTTGAAAAGTGAAATTAAAAGTTGCTGGGTTGTCAACCTGCAATAGAATCTCTGAGTGTTAAACTTGGAAAAACTATGCCCTTAGGGACACAGACAATTTGCCCTACCTATATAATAAATTAATGGGAGGCTTTAACAAAATAATTATGTATTTTTAAGTTATTGTGCAACTGAAGGATTTTTTTCCCCTAAGCTTTTTTTCTCCTTAGAGTGTCAATAGCTGATAAGAATTTTCTAGAGTGTGATTTACACCCATAATCAACTGGGTGCACTAGAACAGTGTTTTTAAGCCTTTTGCTTTGTTGCTTTTTCATAAAGGGTTGTTATAAATGAAAAATTTAAGCCATTCAAAAGTTCTAGTAGTGAGCCCCATCCCCAACCCCAGGGGCTGGGGATATAATCCAAGGCCTTACACATGCTAGGCAAATATTCTACCACTGAGCAACGTTTCCAGCCCTCAAATACTTGGAACAGCAGCATGACCCTCCTCTTCCTCAGAATGTTGGCTAAACTGGGAGTTTTGGGTCATTTCAAACAGAGTAGTAAAGGGGGAAGGTTGTACCCTGGCTGTCCATGGCTGGCAGATACATCTCCAGCACATATTCTCATTCTGATTGTTGGCTGTTTGGAACAACAAAACAGTTAAAGCTTAATTTTTTATGAAGAAATATATTTCTGTATACTTCTACAGTAGATTAATTTTTTCAGTGCTATGTCCATTGCTAATATTTTGCAGTTATTTTTAAAAGTAATGAATTTTAGAAATTTAGTAAAATAAAATACTGTTCCAGAGAAATCTCACTTACTTATATTATTATTACTATTATTATTTTGAAGTAGAGTCTTTCTATGTTCCAGGCTGGTCTTGAACTTGCTATTGTAGCCCAGTTGCCTCAAACACACTCAAATCCTAACCCTAACCCTAACTCTAATCCTCTTGCCTCAGCCTCCCAGAATGCTGGGATTATAGGTGTGTGCCACCACATCTGGTTGTATAATACTAATATTTTAAAGAACAGATTTATTAAAATATAATTTATATACCAAGAAGTTCACTCTTAAAATGTGTAAATCAGAAAGTTTTAGTATATTTGTAAGGCTATACAATCATCACCATAATTTCATTTTAGAAATTTTCTTCACACCAAAAGAAACCTAGTATCTATTAGGAGTTAATTTCCATTGCTTCTCAGCCTTTTGAATAAAATCAAGTGTAGGAGTTACTTTCTGTTTCTCTAATCCCAGTCTGTTCCTCCTAGCCCCAGCTAGTCACTAATCCACGTCTTGTCCTTGTATATTTGCCTGTTTTGTACATTTTATTTTATTTTATTTTTTTTTTTGAGACAGGGTTTCACTAAATAGTTCAGGCTGGTCTTGACTCACCATGTGGCCTGGGCTGGCTTTGAATTCTCAGTGATCCTCTTGCCTCAGCCTCCTGAGTAGTGAGATCACAGACAGGTGCTACCATATCTGGTTTGTACATTTTATTTGTTTTTTGGGTTGTTTTTTTTTTTTTTTGAACTAGGGTCTTACTATGTAGCTCAGGATGTCCTTGAACTTATAATCATTTTTGCCTCATCCTCGCTACTGTTGGGATTGCAGGTGTGTGGTACCACATGTGCCTGAAACCTCAGTTTTTTTTTTTTT